AAATGAAATGATGTTTTTATATTCTTATTCAAATGGAGTACCGTCTGCCTAGCATGTATAATCATATGGTAGGGCGAACCGCGTCAGTTATATCTCCCTTCTATTCCTTACTCCCTGGTTTAACTTGATGTTCTACCCCCAGCCCTCAAGAAATAATGACCTGTCCGTGGGCTCAGGCATATGGGGGGGGGGCTTTAGGGGCTCAGCCCCCCTTGTATATATATATTGGTTTCAGCATAAACATCATTTGTTCGAAGAATTAGTGAATTTCTGGATGCTTAAGTGTTTGGGATCTTGATTCATTTTTTTCGATCAGGATAATCAGGGTTAAGGATCTCTAGTATCCGCATAAAATTAAAATGGATCCTTACTCAAGGAACTCAAGTCTATGCTGCAAAGTTTCTCTTTTCAAAATCGAACCAAAAATTGGGGGAATTATGAAAATCTGTTATTAAATATAAAAGTATATACTTAAGAGTAGAAGCCCGACCAAAACCATGAACATATATAAACTTTTCTTTGACTATCTAAACATTTCTTGATGTTCATTTGCCGATATCTGATAATCATTATGATCATTATTTTCCAATAATCCGCTTTTTATCCCAGAGTGTCCCCCCCCCCACACATTTGTATTTCTTAACTTTCACAGGTGCACCCCCCCAGAGGCGCAACTAGGACTTTTGCTAGGGGGGGGCACANCAAGCTAATATATACCATATAATTAATCAAACACTAGTCAAGACTCAAGCTAATATATACCATATAATTAATCAAACACTAGTCAAGACTCAAGCTAATATATACCATATAATTAATCAAACACTAGTCAAGACTCAAGCTAATATATACCATATAATTAATCAAACACTAGACAAGACTCAAGCTAATATATACCATATAATTAATCAAACAAAGATTTAAAGTGTAACGCTGTGAATCAGATACGTATGCACCTCAAGGGTACCTTACAACGACATTCCCTGTAAAAGACTATAATGGGGGAGGGTGCTGAAGAAATAGGGTCTAGATTCCATAAAGACTCTTTGATTTTTGAATGATTAAAGTGTATTAATTGGTAAAGACTGAAGCAACTGAAGTGGTCATTAGATAATTTTTTTTCAATTTACTCAATGCTTAATTCAATTCATGCTGGGGGGACGGAGTGGGGAATAATTTGACCCCCCCCCCCTGTAGTTTTTTACATATCTTAAAAGTATTGGTCTGAGGCTGTAAAAGTTTTTTAACTTTTCCCAAATACGCATAGTCCTCCGTTTAGGTATGATTAATTGGACTTTTATACTAACTGCCTGAGTCCTCAGGCTCACTGCCTGAATGACTACTTTTTCCTGTAACAAAGTAAATCTTTGTTTTGACTTACTGTCAGTTGTCAGATTTTGAAAAATTTTATCTTGTTGGAAAGCCTTTTACATAAGGAAACGGTATGCACAATTTTTGTACAGAAATTTTTGCAAATTAGTTGCTTACAAGAAAGTTATTCTTAATTGCACATCAGGTTATTTAGAATTTTATAAAGAAAATGTTGCATATTTGAAATGGCCCGATCAAGGCCTTTTCAAAAATGTATATTTTTCATTTTTTGTGCAATTTTTTTTTGTGCAAACATTTTACTAAATAACTTGGTTTTGCAAAAAAATAAAAAAATTTCCAAATTTGTAAATGTTTTTGCAGATTCTGGAAGTAGAGCATAAGAGCTTTCAAATCAATGTATCATTTGTCATATTTGGACATCAAACATGGGATTTAGCGTTTCCTGGTTTAAAAATACCCCAGCAGGGATAGGGTCAAAAAATCCCATAATTGTATTGATGAAATTGCATATGAAGAAAAATAACAATATTATATAACAACTTACAGAAATTGAGTTTTTGCCACAAACTCAAACTTTCTTTATCTTTTTAACTTTGGTATTTCAATTTTTTATATGGTTTACGACATCAGGTTGCAAAGATATAGAGATTAGAAAATCAGAGTTTGTGGCAAGAACTCATTCCTTTAAATGATTAATACTTTTAACTTTATTTTTACTTGTAATCAATATTCATATTATTGTTTTTAATGATACTATTTTTATTACTATGGTAAGATTATCCATATTATTGGTTTTGTTTGATCATTATTGTTATTACTATTACAATTATTATTCTAACTTCTTATTTATCCTTATATTTGATCGGAATGTGAAAACTTTTTATTTTAACTTTCTTTGCTTTCGCGCAACTTTATTCTCAAGTTTCAAAAATATACTTACAAACTGGACAGATTTTTTAAGAATCAGTAAGATATGGAAAGCTATAGAGTTTGAAAATTGTGTATATGTATAATTGTATTTGTCCGACGTTCACGTTACCTAATGTAGAACGCGCGTATTTAATTTTTTTACTGAAAATGAAAGTTGTGTTCATTGTATTCAAAACAACCACTCTTTACTTTTCTTTAACAAATTATAGATATTTGTTGTCAGCTGTTAATAGTTACATTTTGAATTTCTATGATTTGTTAAATTGTTGTAACTTTAGTACTGAATCATGAGAGAAATCACAATATCAAGCAATTAGAAATAAATTTTTCAGTGCTTAAAGCGACTGTAAGCCTAATTTCGAGTAGAGGACCCTTCATGCAAAGATAACAATTCCAGATTCACATCTGTACCCTTACAAGTTTTGTCAGATCAAGTATGAATTAGTTGTCAACGTTTATAATGTTGAAACTTTTTATTTGAAATTGTGTTTTTATTTCTACAAAATTGATTTGCGCATTTCTGCTGCAGGAAAACATATCGGAATTATCAGAAGTAAACCCTTTTAAACCTACAGGAAAAAAAAAACAATATCTTCTACATTATTGATCAGATAAAGGTTTCATTTTTTACTTTTTTCAGCATTGAAGAGATGGAATTTTGAAGAATTAAAAATCATTTTACAATTATAGTAAATTTTACCTTGTTTGATTAAATCTGAATGGTTTTCACAAGTGTTTGAAGAACTAACAAATTTTGAACTCGTTGCTGGTTTCTTTGCTGACTTAGCTTCCAGTTTGTTTGTCACCTTTGCTTTGCAGTTTCCAGACTGTTTGTCAGCTTTAAGTTTGTTTGTCAGCCTAGCTTTTAATCTGTTTTACAGTTTTTCCTTGGACTTATAGTTGACAAGTTTTCGGTATATTTTGAGGAGAGGTAGTTTCTTAGCGACGTTTGATTGATTTTTAGACTTGCCTTGCACTTTTTTTTAATCTGATAACAATTTTTGTTAGGTTTTTTTTGAGGTTTGTCAACTTAGATGAATACTTGGTTTTTATCGTTTTGGTCAGATAAAAATTTTGGTTTAAAGTTTTAAAAGTTTTTAGAAATTTAATTAGTATTTTTAAATTAAAATTTTTTTTTCAAGTTTGAAATGAAACGATGAAGGTTTTAAAGTAAAGAGAACACGAGGTCTATAGGTATAGTTAAACACAAATGAACTGAAGGCCCGGCTCTCTATGTATTTTCTACAATCTAAGCTTAAAACATACAAAATATTTTTCCTGTTTTTATCCACCAATAAAAAACATGCATTAAAAATATTGTTCTGGTCTAAATAGAACATGTTTAACTTTGTATTTATAGTATAAAAATAAAAATGCATTATTCACCCCTCTTGTACTTTGAAGGAGACAGAATTGTATAGTGCGTAGTAAAGCGTAGACAGTATAAATATTTCTAACCCTGCAGACCACTGCTTGAATTATCGCTCTCTTTTTCCGCCTATCTATCTATATATTTATCTATCTATTTATCTATACAAAGTTTTTAAAACTACCTTAATTATTCACTACTAATTTAATAAGTCTAAAAACATAAAAGTATAAAATTTATTTTAAAATGTAATACTTATAAACCTTGTGTACGTTACAGTTGCCAAATTTATTTTTCTGAAGTTTTATTTTTCTGATCAATATTAATCTTAAACTAAGATATTATTTATCCTGTTTGAGAATTTACTTGTTTTTTGATGTTACACCACTTCCTCGCATGTTAAGCTAAAGTAAATTATACGTAAGATTGAAATCCTTTATGTTTTTTTTATCAGAACTTCTCTTATGGAAGATTGAGATATGGAGAAAGACAAACATTTTTTACTCCATATATCTTTGCAACTCGATGTCGTAGACCGTTGATATTTCAAACTATGAAATATGTTAGATAAAATAGTCTAATTGTTTTAAAAATCAAAATTGTAAAGATGGAGGTATAAGAAATTCGAATTTTTGGCAAGAACTCAATTTCTTTATCTTTTAAAAAATTCCGGATAAAAGAACTGATTTTTTCTGCACAAACTCAAATTTGTCAATCCCTTTATCTTTGCAATCCAATGTCGTAGACCTTTCATATGTTCATCTTCAGGTTGCAAAGATATAGGTATGAGAAAATTTGAGTTTGCGACAAAAAATCAGTTCCTTTGGTTTTCTCATTCTTCTGTATGAAATCCAAACTAGAGAAACCACGAGGTCACAAACTAGAGAAACCACGAGGTCACAAACTAGAGAAACCACGAGGTCACAAACTAGAGAAACCACGAGGTCACAAACTAGAGAAACCACGAGGTCACAAACTAGAGAAACCACGAGGTCACAAACTAGAGAAACCACGAGGTCACAAACTAGAGAAACCACGAGGTCACAAACTAGAGAAACCACGAGGTCACAAAGTCCTTCCAGTAATGTCGCATACATTTGACCTCCTTCTGTCTGTCTGTTTGCAGTGTTCAACCTTTATATAATATTATTTGTTGTTATATTTGTGAAATAAAATAAAACATTACTTTAACCTGACCTGTACCATTTCCTCCTGTTTTTACCAAAAAAAAACACAAGAAATGTCAAACAAAAATCTTTAAAACAATCCCCTGGGCTTGAAAATTAATTTGATTTAGGTTTTATACCAAGTAAACCGTGGGTACAAGAGTTAAATGAAATGGATTTAAGTGTTTTCTGACCCAAGGGTTTTCCGACTTTAAAATAGATTTAATATTACACTGATATTATTACACTGTAGAAAGAAAGAATAGTGTTTTAATGTTTAATACTTACATACATATATATATTGTATATTTATTTCCTAACTATTCTTAAAGACAATCTAAATCTCTTAATGGTCGTAATTTTCTAGTTGAAAATGTACTTCATAACTGTATGTTAATAATGAAAATGAAATTGAAAAAAAAGAAATTAAAACTTTGTTTGCCTTGACGAATTCAAAACTTTGCATAATTGACATCAAGTTATAAGTAAATAGCAATATTTGATACTATACAGTACCGCCTCACTTTTCAGTGTACTTCAGATTACCGCAGTACACCACAAACACTAGGGTGTAGTTCAGATAGTCAAACGCAATTTACTAATCCCTATATTCAATCTAAAAAACTCGTAGTTTGATACTTTGAGTTTGAGTTTGAGTTCGGGTTGCAAAGATATAGGGATATTAAAGCAGAGCATGTGTCATGAACTCAGTTCCATTGACTTTGTGTCTTGATTTAAGACAATTAAATGCCAGGGTTTGAACAAAATATTTGTGAACTATCAAATTGAAGTGCAGAGACCGAATTTAAAGAATTTGTGCTGCGGCTTAATTTGAGACGCGGCTCAAAGATGGTTGATTCCACTTTAAATTGTATTAAATGTTGCAAGATTAAGCCGGCGCTAAATTAAAACTAATTTTTTGGCGGCTTTAAGCCGCGGCTCAAATTCATTAAATTCGGCCTCGGAAAGAAAAAAATATATGTATTAACGTTTTAAAAGTATAATTAAGGTATAAGTGAATTAGTGAGAAAGCAGGCAAATGTCGAGCTATGATAGTAATACCTTCTTAAATTCTTCATGATTTTTTACTCTTAATACTTTTTTTTATATATTTATACTTTCTGTAACTCTCAATACTTTCTGTAACTCTCAATACTTTCTGTAACTCTCAATACTTTCTTTAACTCTTAATACTTTCTTTAACTCATAATACTTTCTTTAACTTTTTAGTCTTTATACATTCTTTAACTTTTAACACTTTCGTTAACTCTTGATACTTTCTTTATCTCTTTATACTTTCTTTAATTCTTAATACTTTCTTTAACTTTTAACACTTTTTTTAACTCTTAATACTTTCTATGACTCTTAATGCTTTTTTTAACTCCTAACCTTTCTTTAACCCTTCATACTTTCTTTAACTTTTAGCACTTTCTTTAAGTCTTAATACTTTCTTTACCTCTTCATTATACTTTCTTTAACTCTTAACACTTTCTTTAACCCTTCATACTTTCTGTAACTTTTAACACTTTCTTTAACTCTTAACACTTTCTTTACCTCTTCATTATACTTTCTTTAACTTTTAACAATTTCTTTTACTCTTAATAAGTTTTCTTTAACTCTAAATACTTTCTGTAACTCATTTGAAATGCTACAGACGGTTACATCAAAGATAAATTTAACACAAAAGCCGTCCATTTTTGTGTGGAAAATTCCATGTCGCCCCCTGAGCTGCGTTCTGTAAACCGTAAAGCAAGCCGAGCCCTCATCAGAAAAGAGTTCGACGGCCAGGATTCTACACGTGTTTGTGTAAACTCGGTGGAGGGGAGGAAGGCCAGCCACAACTTTTCGTCCGAGCCATCGTCGTCGTCTTTCTCTTAAAACATGTTTTTAAAGTGTCCCATTCATAGATAAAACTAGTCGTAGAAAATCTGGCCTCGATATGACATAAAATATGGTTAGACTAAAGTATTGAAAATTGAAATGACTACATTATTTCAGAATCAATTAAAATTATGTCAAACATGATTTAGGTAAAAATTAAATCTCTTCTGTCAATATAATGGCTAACCTTCCGATATAGTTTTAGTATTTATTTTCAAACGCAAAATACAAAATAATAATGTATGATGGTTCAGCTTAAAATAAAACACAAAAGAAAATTTATTTTGAGCCAATTCAAAATATAATGCTTGATAATTTTATTTGATTGTTTTTGTTGAAACAAAGTATACATATTGAAATCTCAATATGTATGTAACTAAATATACATTCATTGTGCATTTACAAGTAGATAATTAGTCAGCACTTAAGTAATCAAAACATTTTCAGGAATGCATTCATTGAATTTATAAATACATATTGATTCAGCAAAAGTAGAAATATATTCTCGTTGACTATAGTAGACTTGACATCTAACATTAGCAAAGAGTGTGAACCCATACTCGTTGGCTTTAGTAGACTTTGACATTCATCATTAGCAAAGCAAAATTTTTGTCTTATATCTGATTTTTAATTTTCCTCTGGGACCACTCAGAAAAACTCTAAGGTTTTCAAAGTTAACAAAAAAGATTGAAGTTGGGCTTGGCATTGCTCCTGGGGAACGATCGTTCTTTTACAGGAACAAAATGAATTATTAAGAATGATGCCATTGTTCCAAAAATAACTAACACATTGAATGAACTCTGAAAAATGTTGGAATGGGCTGGAACAGGAAGGCATTCTAAATCAGGAACTAGCTTCAAATTTAAAGGAATTGAGTCTTTGCCAAAAAATTCAAAATTTATAATACCTATATGAGTGTGATAAATTTTCTTAGTCCAACTTTTTATTAAAAATAGATCTCTGACAGGTAAGGATGCTATTGGGGGGTTTTTAAAAATCAAAAAGTTTGTTGGTCAAATTTGTTATGGTTCTTTATATCTTAATTAACAATTATCCACCAAGAACAAACGGCTGGACCACCAAGAACGAACGGCTGGAATCATTCTCAATCAAGATAAACACAGAACGGAACAGGGATAGAACGATGAGGAAAAGAATGAAATATGAATGAGCGATCCAGCTATCTTACCCTTGTTCTAGATCGAGGAATGAACAATTTCAATTAAATAGGAACACGCCAGTTCTAATTGAAGTTCTCTGAACTTTAAATTATTCATGGAATGCTAAACTAGGAATATCTAAAAATGCGCATAAAAAGTGAGCAATTTTTAAAGTCAATGAACTTAACTTTAATTCAATTGAATCTTTTTTTTGATATACTAAAACTTAATATTTGATTTACGCCAAAACCTGGCCAGCTATAAAAATGTAATCTCTCAGGACTGGACACCTAAAAATGGGCGAGGATTGCTAGGTGGCTCGGACGAGAAATTGTAGTGGCTGCAGTCCTCCTTCCCCTCCTCGGACAATTGCCATCTTGGCGCCATTTATCGAGTTTCATTCTACTACGCAGTTTTTTCTGTGCTTACATAACCTAAGCATACAGACGTAACGTAACTGGATGAGGGCGTTTTATACACCAAATACACAACTTATTAAAGACCCCTATACTATTGGCATCCATTTTAAAATGTTACAAAAAGTGCAGTTTTTTCTGCATGCATATTTTGCATATTTTAGAATGTTCATGTCTGTAACCTGTCTATAATCC